GGATCTGAAGGCCTTAGGAATGGACCTCAACAGATGGGAAACCCTGATATCTGAGCATTCAGCCTGAAGGCAGGCAGTGCATCATGACCTCTCCCAATTTGAAGAGACTCTTGTCCAGCAGGCCAAGGCAAACCCGAAAGCAGCAAAACCAGGGAGCTGGGCAGGGGACAGATTGTATTTGTCTTCAGTGTGGAAGGGATGGTCACTCTCGAATTGGCCTCCTCAGCCACACTAGACACTGTTCCAAGTCCTCCATACAGAGCATGTTACAATTGTCTCTCAAGATTGAAGGATGTCTAAACAACAACAACAACAAAAAGCTCCAGTGTACTGTAGATGTATTATTTCTTATGCAAGTGAATCTGGCGTAGGGCGCGTTGGCTAGCTTTTGCTATCTAGGGTGGCAGTGATGGTCAACCTCTGTTGGCTAGCTTTTGCTATCTAGGGTGGCAACCTCAATGCGTGGCAAAACATTAATAAACTCTGGACATGGTCAGAGGTGCTCAGCCTTTACCCTGTCACAGTTTCACATCTGTTTCTTTCAAGGCATCCATGTAGCCAAAGAGGCATGAAGCCAAGCCATGCTAAAGGAGTGGGGCTGAAGGTGGAGCTCACAGGAAGGGGTGGGGCTAAAGGCAGACAGACGGAGCTCAGTTTAACCCTTTCTCAAGGGTTCCCAACCTTGAGTTGCCAGATGTTCTTGGACTCAAACTCCCAGAAGTCTTCACCATGAGCCAGGATTTCTGGGAGTTGCAGTCCAAGGACATCTGGGGAGCCAAGTTTGAGAACCACTGGTCTAAACGCAATGGAAGACATCTTTGTCTTTGTTTTTCCTGTTCATCATCAAACCTGTACGTTTTTGTCAAGGGGAGAGCTTTTCAAGATCACGAGTGGGTTTTTCCTCCTCCAGGAAGGGAGGGACAAAGGACACAGTTTGGCTCTTCAGATGTGGGTGGGCTGCAGGTCCTAGCGTCCCTGGCTAGAGCTGATGGGTGTCGCAATCCCTCCAGGTCTGGAAAGCCACTCTTCGGCCGAGTTTGACTGGAGGGCTTCTCCTTCTTGGGGGAAAAAAAGCTGCACAAACGTACAAGGAACCCCAAGAACAAGTCTGAAATCAGCACTTCAGAAAATGACTTGGAACTCAAAACCCTTCATGGATCAGCGCCTGGAGAGGTTTGGTTGACATCTTCCATCATGTTCATCCATGTAGGCTGGCAGAGTTTGGTCAGCTGGAGTCCGAAAAACTGGCTTCCCCAGGCTGAGCCTGGAGTTGGAAAAACAGGGGCCGAGGTTTAAAAGTTGGATAGCCATTGGGGAGAAAGAGAACAGAGTTCTTCCTGTTCTTGCCGACAACAGCAATTAAAATATACAAAATATGAACTGTACACCCTAGAAGATTTTCCCAAGGGTGAGAGGCAAGGCAGGGTGCCAAAGGACTCTCTGCTTAGCAGTGGTTAGGAGGATGCGAGGTTCAATAATCAGGAGATAATCATATGTAAATGTGCACACATGGATTTGCATCTGTATAATGCCATGATTCTTCTGCACCTGAACATGGTAGCAAACGAGAGCCAAAAACGTGTAGAATCAATTTATTTTTTCTCCCTGGAAAGTTCTGGAGATTCTTCTTCAATATCCCTGCCCAGAAAAAAGCCATTGTGCAGATTTTTCTCCAAATATTTTCCGCTATTTGTGCTGCTGTTTTAATCATATTCTATCACTCATCACACATAAGGAAGGAGTGGCACTTATTGGCTGAAATCCAGTCATAAAATCATAGTAGTGGGCCCAGTGAAGTAGTAGGGATTCAATGAACCCCTCTGTAAGTTCCACTGATTCAATGGGACTACTCTATTTTATTTCTTTGGACTTCTAAACTGTCTGTCTGATCAATGGTCACTCTGTGATCTTATTGCAACAAGCCCTCCTTATCTGCGGGATCAGTATGCACAGATTCACTTATCCACGGTCTGAAAAATATTTGAAATATTAAAAGAAAAAATCCTAGAAATATACAGTGGACGTAGATTTCAAAAGGTGAAGTTACCAGAACTGGACACTAGAGGGAGTTATGTATAGCGTTCACTATAAGTGTTTTTTTTCAGAATCCAAGGGGGAGGATAGATTTGGAACTGATCCCCCGAGGATATACTGTACTGGATTCCAGCCATCGATTTAATACAGAGTCAGGAATTAGAGGCTGGAATCCTGTTGCGCAGTTACGCAAACAGCCCTCGGAAAGTTAATAAATCCTGGGAGAGTTCTTAGCTTGCACCAATTCCCGTCTAAAAATCACATTGTTTGCGTAAACAGCAGAACAGAATTTCAGCCAGGGAATCAGAGGAAGGCAGAAATCCGACCCCATGAAACCAAGGCACTGGCACAGATATTAAGTGCATCCTAGGACCTTGCCTCTCTGAGTTATTGTGTTTCCAAAATGCATTAATTTTAGTTAATTAACCTCTGTAGTTCCCTCCCAAGCGGCTACATGCCCAACTTTCCCAGTTGAGACTCAACTAGAAACAAGCTGGGGAGATGTGGCCTCTGGGCGACACCATGTGGCACTCTTGACCCCAAGGCCCGCCAGCTTTTCAAACAGTGCAACAGCACCCAGAGAGGAAGTTAGAAAGAGTGTTGTTGCTGGATTAATAGGAGCATCTGGAGAGCTATGCGCTGGGAAGACTGGGGTGGAGGAAAAGGAATAGAGGATAAAAGAGGAAACGGACTGAGGGCAACGTCTTGGGCATGATAATTCAACACATCGCTAATATTCCCGTCAACAGATACACACACACACACACACCCACCCAAACAGAACAGTCCATGCTCTCATTTGGTTGTGGGGGGGTTCCCCCCTCCCACACAGGTTTTTAATTAATTAAATAAATAAATGAACGGTATTCAAGGCAGTAATCACATCACAGTGGAGACCTTCCCTGCTTCAACAACATTGAAGGGGGGGCATTAGGAGGAGAGAGGCAGCCTGCTTGTACGAATTCGCACTTCGTAACAGAATCCCTTCCCCTCCATCAAGGCAAATGAAAGATGCCCGTTTCAGGGGGAATCCTGCCCTCACCTAATATTGCATTCCTCCCCACCCCCTTCTTTCAAAATACCACATCCCCACAATCTGAAAACAAACGTGGAGGAAAATAGAGATATATAGATATATATATATAAATAAGCCATATTAAAATATGAAAAGGAGAGAGGAAATGAATCAGGCTTGTTTGAAAGGAAACAGGTGACAAGAATTGGTGGGAGAGCCAATGATCCAAATTGAACTTGACTTTCGGAGTGTAAAAAAAAACCCTCACTCTTTCCATGAATCCTTTTTTTAAAATGATTTTTCTAAAGAACAGATGGGTGTGCGTTAAGTGGGCTGGATTCTGCTTCCCTTTTGCAGGGGTGACGAGGTGGGAGAACATATCCAGGGTGTACAGCAGTGTAAATGTAAAAGGTGGTTTGGCTGCAATAGAATGAGCGCATTTAATTTCAACGTAAGAAACTCAGGAAACACTCTCCCCCCCAGTGAAGTTTCCACTTCCTGCCAAGAGGGGGAGAGCAAGAGTAGTACTTCTGCCATCTAGTGGAAGAACACAGGAATACAGCAGAAGGCAAAGATTCATGTCTAAAATTCAATTTTGGAGCTTCCGGCACAGAGTTTAAGCGGCATCTGTTTCTAATGACTTGAGAGTGTAGGCTAGCTTTTTTTATCCCATATACCGTATTTTTCTGTGTATAAAATGACACTTTTTCCTTAAATAATTTGAGAATAAATTAAGGGTCATTTATACATGGAAGGCAGCTGTTTACCGCTGCCTTTAGCGAAGGCACAAGGCTTAGCAAAAAGGAAGGGAAGCAGTTTCTCTCTTCCTTTTTGCTGAGCTCCATGCCTTCTCAAAAGGCAAAGAAAGGCAGCAGTCACTTTGACAGCCGCTTTCCTTGCCTTTTGCCAAGGCACGGGTCTTAGCAAAAAGGGCGTCCTTTGATCCCTGCTTTTTCTAATTTGGTGTTAGAAAAGGGTGGGGGTCATCTTATAAATGGATAAATACGGTACGTTACAACTTCCACAGATATTCTCTGTGATTACCCTGGGGTAGAATCATGTCTGGGCACTCTGCCGTAATCACAACGTCCAAAGATTCTCAGGCCGCTGAAACACTGGCCACTTAAAACCCTTGTGCTAGAAGCTCCGAAACGGAACAAAATTGGCCTTCAGCTGCATTCCCACGTTCTCCCACTAGATGGCAGAATTACTACTCTTGGTCTCCCTCTCTTGGCAGGAAGTGGAAACTGCAGTGGGGAAGTTATAACTGAGTTCTCGCCCCCTGCTGGCATTGAGAGTGGGAGACCCTTTCCAGTGTGATCAGGCACGCATCTCTGAAATGGTGGGATCGTACCTTGACTTGAGACAGGAATGCAGATAGGCTGACAGGCTCCATTATGTCATAGGAGAAAACGGGAGGAAGCAGCAGACAAGAGAGGAACAAATAGAAGGTTTGCTTTGGGAAGTCAGGAGACAGTCTGATCTGAGACCATGGCGGGGAAGAAAGTTATAATCACACATCCCTTGTGGGTATGACTCTGTAACACCCAGGCACTTTTTCCTGCCATCCTCAGCTCTCCAGAACCTCTCTGGAAGGAAGGCAGGAAAAACGGGGAAAGGAAGGAAGGAAGGACAGGGGAAAACAAGGAAGGGAGGGAGGGTGGGAAGAAGAACGGGAAAACAAGGAAGGGAGGGAGCAGCTGATGATGAATGGATGGATGAAAGGGAGGAGGGAAGGAAGGAGCTGATGATGGATGGATGGATGAAAGGAAGGAGAGAAGGGAGGAGCTGATGATGGATGGATGGATCAAATGAAGGAGGGAAGGAAGGAGCTGATGATGGATGGATGAAAGGCTGGAAGGAAGGAAGGCGCTAATAGTGAAAGAAATGAGAAAGTACAAAGAAAGAAAGGAAGGAAGGATATACCATATACCAAAAGCAAAATCATGTGACATCAGCACCTTATTAACAGCTCGGTTCAGAGAGAAAAAGAGAAAGAGATGAATAAATGAATAAACAGGGGGAAACGATGGGCCCCTCGTGGCCCAAACAGCCTTGGGCAGCAGTACGCCTCCTATCGGAGAAGGGAGGAGCGTATGGCAACAGTACAATTTGGTTAATTTTCCTGACAGCTTCAGGAGCGGACAGATTCCCCCTGCCCCGCCTCCCCTTCTCTCCCCCTCCCCCCCGTTTGGCACTCTGAAATAGCAGTTCTGTGATCCATGCGCCCTGGCGGGCTCGCCCAAGAATGTTCTTCTGGGAAAACAAACCAAAAACCCAGAACATTCCCCCCTCCGGCTTTGGACTCTCTCTCCCCCAACGCCAAACCGCTTCCCGCCATGGAATGTATATTTTCTGGGGAGGGGAAGGGGGCTCAAATGCCCAGAGATGTGCCACGGCACATGAGGGTGCCGATGACCCAAAAGTTGGAAAACATTAACTTTTCGTAATGTTAGTTCCTTCCTAGAGGCCACCACCCACCCGGAGAGATTGAGAACGAGGCCGCCTCTATCAAAAGCTCTCCCCCTTTTCCCTGGCCTCAGGTGACCCCCCATCACTCTCCTCTCCTGGGTTCTTTCCCAGCATCCCTTCTGTCAAGATGCCAGGCGTCGCCTCGGGAAGCAACAGTGCAGCCCACACGATGCAGACCACAATGGCTGGGGCCACCTCCTCTTCCGAGGGCACAACTCCGCTCAGGATTTCCCTACATGAGCAGAAGCAGGGGAGGTGAGTCGGAAGGGACAGCATCAAGATGGGAATTAGGTCCCCACCCCGCCTAAGCAATACAGTAGGACCGTGGGGTCCACAGGATCAGTACCTGCGGTTTCACTTACCCACTGCCTGAAAATATTAAAGAAACCCAGAAATTCACATTTCCAAGAGGTATGACAGGAACTGGCCCCTAGAGGGAACCAGAGACCACGCTAATGTGTAGGGTTTGCCGTATCCATGTTTTCCGCAGGCCCCTAGAGGGAACCAGAGACCATGCTAATGTGTAGGGTTTGCTGTATCCATGTTTTCCGCGTTATCTGCAGGAGATTTGGAACTGATTCCCTGTGGATATCACAGTGCTACTGTATATCTGTCAGATCTGGCAGGAATCCACCTCCTGAACATGTACAGAAAAAAGCACAGAATGCAAAAAAGAGGGGGCATGATTTCTGCCACTGTAACCCAACCGCTGCTGTATTGCCTTCTCTCCCAGCCTGATTCTCACTGCTAAGGCCAGTGTCATTTAATGTCTTTTGCCCTGGACCCAAAGATCCTCCGGCCCCACCCGCTTCCAGCCACCCTCCTTAAAAAGTGCTCCTGGTAGACATTCCTCTCTCTCTCTCTCTCTCTACGTGCCCCTCACGGTGCTAGTCCACGGCTGATGGGCATCATCAGAGGCTTGGCTGAAAGAGGGGGCTGTAGGTAGGATGGAGGGGGGGAAGGGGAGACGCTTTATCTTCCCCTCCATGGCTTTAACCTCTCCATCGGCGATGACCCCATGGGGGTCACAAGGTGTTCCTCCACCCGCTTTCTTGAGAAGTTGCGCCCGTGAGAAATGTGACCGAGATGTCTGGTTTTGCCAGAGAGAGAGACATCGCAATGGCGAGGGCCAGGGTGGGGGAGCCAGGAAGGCTAGGGGGATGATGCAGCCGTTTGGAAAAAAAGGCGAGGTCCCACAGGCTGACCCCTCTGCCCATCCCCGTGGCCCAAGAAATCCGTGGCCCTGGGGCTTGAACTGGTCTCCGCAACCTTGCCGAGGAACCGGACCCAGTCCTGACAGAGGCCACTTCCCTGCTTTCCCACGGACCCGTCTGACCCGCCACCCAGCCGCCATCACGGAGATAAGGAGTCCACCGGGGGAGCGGGCGCGGGCGCTGGGCAGGCAGGCGGAGTCGCCAGGAAGCTATTGACCTCTCCGATGCCGATGAGGCTGAAATCAGGGACCGATAAGGACACTTGAGCGGGGGCCACCAAGGTCTCTGGACCCCTGCCCAGTCCCACGTGGCCGGAAATTAAAGGCAGCCGCTCCGTGACGCTCCCAGGAAGGGTGAAGTCCACGGCCATGGCCTCCCCGGAGCACCGCAAGGATTCCGGCTTGGTTGCTGCGGCCATCTGGAAGAACCCAGGTTCGGGGGGATTGGGCGAGGGCTGCAGGAAGGGTGGTGGCCCGCGGCTGCTTGCGGGGGCCTCCTCGGCCGGGTCGAAGGAACAGTTTGTTTCCGACGGGGTGCTGCACTCGTAGCCCTGGCCCGACTCGCTGGTGCTGCCCAAGCTGCAGGCGGCGCTCTCGATGCTCAGAGGCTCTGCAGGGCGGAGAAAAACAGCAAGCCAAGAGTGGTCACCAAGCCCGAACGGGGTGTGTGTGTCAAAGTACAGCCCACCAGACTGTCTAGCCCCGATCTGGTGTGGTGGAGCATTATAAAGATCTCTCTCTTCAGTCCTAGCGTCAGGGCCAGCGGGGACAAATTTCCTCCGCTGGACTTCTGGGGACTTTAGCCAACTCCCCCCAAAAGTCCTTTCTGATGTCTATAATTATTTTCAGCTAAGAAATAATGTTTTCAAGCTGTAAATACTTTCTGCTCAGACATAATGAAGAGGCTAGACGGGGGCTAAGTGTTATGGGAACTGCAAGGCATTAAGAGTCTGGTAGTTTCCTGAGAGGCACCTGCAAGGAGCAGGACAACTACTAAACCCCTAATGCCTTACAGCCCCCATGGAACTTAGCTCCCCTCCAGCCACTTTCTGCACCTTCATTACGTGATTCTGGTCTTGGGCTTCACGTGGCCAACCTCTGGTTCAGACAAACAAAGTCTTATGTACTGTAAGGAGCTACATATAGTACATTCTTAGGCTTTTGCATGGAACAAACACACTGGGACTGTTTGTTGTCATCTTCTGCCAGCAAGGGGCTAAACTCAAAAGCTGCCTGAGAACACCAAGAGTGCCGTTCCAAGATCCAGGGAGCTACAGATCTTTCTTTCCTTCACCATCCTTTTTTATACATCCATAGGTATCCACACATATGAAATAAGGGTTGTTTTTTTTTAGGCCTGGAAGATGAGATTCCAAGGAGAAGCCTGAAGCTCTTACCTGTGCTCTCCATGGCCAGGTGATCTGGGTTGAAACGTGAGTCCATGCAACCCGTGACTGATGAGATTGGTGGGGAGCCCCGTGAACGGCTGGCATTTTCCACTTCACCACCATCTAAAAAATTATCTGTGTAATCCCTAGGGGAAGAAGGGGGGGAAGCAAAGAGACAAACCAAACAACCATGTAGATTCTTATACCTCAACCGACACATTAGAACAATGACATCTGTGCCTCTGTGTCTACCTCTATAAAGTTAAGAGAACCCAAGCATAGCGTACGAACTGAGTAAATGTGTGAACCTATGATTCCTAATGGTGGCAGAGCGAAAAATTCCAGCCAAGTCACCATGTGCTGGGAACAGGATAGCCAAAATCCTGTCGCTCAGCTCTACTTGCAGAACAGGAATCATATCATTGTTCATAGCAGATACTGATTAGATACTCCTTTTTTCGATTTTGATGTTTGCATGCAATGAGACAAAGTAGGGTGCACCCTGGAATAAAAAAAAGAGAGTCTTCAATCAATGGCAATCTGCCGCTGACAATGAAGTCATTCATCTTATGCAGGCAACGTTGGGCGACACAGCCTTTTCTCCTTTGATCTAGCCAAGCTCTTATGACATTCCTGTACTCTCTACCATCAGAGTCAATTGATGCACTGATCTTATCTGATTTTGGAAGCGAAGCAGTTATCAGGCCTAACTGGAACTGGATTCGGAGACCACCAGGGAATAAGCAGCCGCAGCTGTGATATAGTTCATGGAAAGAAAATATAAGATGGAATCCTGCCTGAAATCCTACCGAATGGATGCTGCCAGTCAGAGAGGACAATGCAGTAGGGCTGCCATTTCTAAGGGATCAGTACCCGTGGTTTAATTTATCCGCTGCCTGAAAATGTTATCTAAAAACCCCCCTAGAAATACACGTTTTCAGGATGTATAATCAGAACTTGCCACTAGAGGGAAATGTTTTTAGATATACGTAGGGTTCCCTCCTGTCATCTCTTGAATATTTTTCCCCATCTTGAGCTATATTACTATTCTTTTTTTTTATTTTATGATATTCATTTTATTTTATCTATCATTGTTAGCCACCCAGAGTAGACTTCGGCCTAGATGGGCAGAGTATAAATTTAATAAACAAACAAACAAACAAATAAAATTCCCTTATAAGGGATTTCCGGTATCCATGGGTGGGTTGGATGGGCTTGAAAGAAATCCCCTGCAGATATTGTGCTCCTATTGTACTCGGCAAGACTGACTCAGGGATTTGATTTCGCCTTCTTACATTCCTAAACTTCTATGATGAGTTAGACTGCTTAGATGTTTTGTCACTCCTCCACATAGTCTGACCACGCTGGTTTTGGGTATTCCCGCTAGGCTGTCTCCTAGCCAGCTTTCTCCTTTTCTCTCCCCCCCCCCCCCCAAACCCCGCTTCAGGAAGACCTCGTGAGCCAGCCTTTTTGCCTGGGGAGCCGTGAGTCCCTAACCACTCCAGGCCTGGGGCATCTGGGACTTTTGCTCCGGCCTCCTCAAATAACAAGCGGCCTCACGTTACAGATCCCAGTCCAAGGCAGGTAGAGCTCCGGTGGAGAACATACTTCTTCCTTCCAAACCGCGTCTGCTGGGTGAAGTAGTCGTAGCGCTCCGACTTCTTCCAAATATAATAATACTCCACACACTCGCCCACCGACCGGGTGCGGACCTGCAGTCAAAGAAGAGGGGAGGCAAACATTTAGACGGACTGGTATTTCAGATGGGTCTTTGTTGTTGTTGTTGCATTTAATGGTTTACGAGTCATTCCCCACAAAATAAAACAATAACGTTCTTTGCAAGCAAACTCACAGACTTAAAAAAAAATGAAACCAGCCTTCTTTGAAAACCAATCAGGAGCAACTCAAAAGAGTCAGTTCTAACACCAGTTTTAAACACCAAAGGCCCGCAAGGATGGTTAAAGCCTTGGTGGTCTGCCAGGAGCTCCACAGGGATGGAGCCAGCCTGACGTCTTTCGGGTGGGAATCCCGCAGTCAAGGTGGCACTCAAAGGCAGGTCAGTCGTACGTCCTCATCAGCAGAACCTCTCAGGTTGATGATGAGTCGGGTGACAGGCCCTGCCTGAAAATTCTCAAGCTTCTGGGCAGGCAGGTATGGGAGGTGGGAGATGTCCAGCTATCTCAAGTTCAGGGTTTTTATAGATCAAAGCCACCACACTGCACTTTTTAAAAACCAACCCCTGGATGGCCTTGAAGTTGGTTCAGATTTGGCACACAGCGGACAACCGTCTGGCAGCTGCATTTTTGCATTAGCTGGATCTTCTGAACGCTCCCTCAAGGGCAGCCCCATGTAGAGTACGCTGCAGTAGTCTAGTCAGGCCATTAAGGGATGGATCACTGTGTTTCACAGGGCACCCGTGGCAGGCTTACCTTGTTCGCTTGAATAAGGTGGAAGTTCTTCCCATGGACCCGAAAGCCGTGTTCAAAGTTCCTGCATTCTTCCTCGCTCCAGGAGCAAAGTTCATCTGTAAGGGGTCCACATCAGAAGAGGCGACTCATTAGGAGGGAAAAAACACCTGACTAGGTTTTCCCACTTAGCAGGGACTCTTCAAACGGGAGCTGGTTTAGACTTTGGTCAGTCTCCTGCTGTGTTACATCCTGGTGGAACGGTGATCCTGTAAGCATATCCGCTGCTCTGTCCCGCTCTCTGTGGCGTGCTTAGCGTCACATGAGTTGGAAGAGCAATGGCTTGACCGGCTGCGTGACCTGATTGCACCACAGGGACTGACTGGCTGCCATGGGGGAGAGCCTGTGAGACTCCTTTTACGCTTTAAGGAAGACACTTAGCCCTCATGACCAAAGAGGATCGCCAGAGCTTGGCATCTCCCCATTTTCTGCCCTGCCTAGTTGGACAGCTTTTATGCTGTTACGGAAATCAACTTGATCCCAAGAAATCAGAGATGGGAAAGCTCCTGAGTTCTAGTCCAACACTCTAACTGGGATATCTCACTGACACTTTACGGAAGAGCGCCTGAAAGATTTTGCCCAGCCTATAGTCCTGGTTAAGAAAAGTCAGGTTGCGGAGAGGGGTCATACTGAACCCCATCCACCCAATTGGTCTTCACACGGAAAACAATGTCTTTCAAGATGGCACAATCTGCCTCTCTATCAGTGGAGACGGGTGGCTTAGATGTTGGGCAGTCGCTCCGGGTCTGAGCCTGAACTTTAGATCCTTGTTACCTGGAACGTCGTATGGGATCTTATGAATGCAGCATGACTTGATTGCGAAAGGGAAGGGTGTGACCCCAGTTTTAGACGAAAAAAGAGTAGTGTTCTTGACTCTGAACCTGGGGGAGCTCTTGTGAGGTCTGGACAAAGACACCGTCCAATGATATCGGAGTCACCCGCTTGAATGGCTCTTTGTGCCAATGACTATGATCCAGCATTTCAACCCATGTGGACACCCCGTAGAGGATCAAGAACCTCTCCTTTTTGCATCTGGAGAAGGGACCCCCCCCTCCTCTTTCAGGGTCGAAACAGGTTGGTCTTAGCCCTCCTCTCTTGATTAAAAGGAAGGCAGAAGCATCTGAAGGAAGGTCTCTCACCTCGAATGACCTTCACATTGAACCGGAGCCGCCGCAGCGCCTCTTCTGCGTTGAAGTTGCATTTCACCAGTTCGTACAGCGCCTGCGGAGAACAGAGAGGTACCTTATTTTTCCATGTATAAGACTATACTTGTGTCTAAAATCTTCAGACTAAAAATTGAGGGTCGTCTTATACATGGAAGTAAGCTGAGGAAAGAACGAAAACAAATGGAGGGGGAAGCAGGGATCAAAGCGATCCTGCAGCACTTTGATCCCTTTTCCCCTACACTTGCTAAGCCACACTTAGATTTCTTAATTTTGGATTAGAAAAGTGAGGGGTGTCTTATACATGGGGGCGTCTTATACACAGAAAAATATGGTACACAGATCATGGCTGGGGGGGAGGGAGATGGACCATGGCGGCAGGCAGCTTAGTTGCCAGGAGGAAGTAGGATGGCAGAGAGAGTATAGTTGGCCAGGATGGCGTCCGTAAGGGAGCTGTTCCCTCTCCGGACCGCACTGTGTTCATTGATGGACAACAGGACAATGAGAGTTTCAAGGGAAAGGACCAGAATTGTACTGAGGATTTATGTCAGGCTAAGTCTACATGCATAAACTGCAGCAGCAAATCGCCAAGAATTAACAAGTATTTCCCTTGCATACCTGGTTATGTGCTAGTCAAAAACAACCCGAAATGTGAACACCCAACTCATGGATGGGTGACAGCTCACTGCCACTGTTTATGCAACTATACTCACACAGATATAAATCCTCAAGAGTGTTCTGGCCAGTGTGGGAGTGGTTGTTTTCCTCCCCAGGACCCTGGGGGGGGGGTCATTCCGGAATACTTAGATACTAGGCGCTCACAAGGTACCTAAAATGTAATTCACAAACACACCCTTGCAGCGTATTTCTTCCCCCACTCTCGCAAACCACACGTTGGTCTTATCAGCCGTTTGAGAATAATGACCTGACTTACTTACTTGTTCGTTATCCTTCACCAACTCTCCTTCGGGAAGGTTGGCGTGGGAGACCTCGTTCCACCGCCTCTTGACAGCTCGGTAAAGGAACTCTTCCACTTCTTTCTCAGGAAGGATGTTTGGGTCCCAGAGTAACTGGTCATCGTTTTCATAAACTACGAGACAAGAGAAGATTGAACAATCATCTTTTAAATTGGGCCCGGATCGTTTTGAAAGGTCGGATGTGTGTGTTAATTTTCTGCCCCCCTCAGGAAAACGCGGGGGCTTATAAGACCAAAACGGTCAGAAAAGAAAGAAGAAAATAAAATAAAGAAAGAGAAAAGAAGTGAAAGAAAGACAACAGACGTGGCTAGGAGTTCACTTTCAATTTTCAGTAAGGGTATCTCTCCCTGCCAAACAGATACTGGAAAAAAATGCAAAATTTATTAACACTCCCTTCCAAGGGGAAAACAGATTCTCACACCTTTTTCACTATGTCTGCTCAAGTGCAGGACCGGAACAGCCGCCTGGTACTGAGGTCCAACCATGATCTCCTGCAAACCACAGAACAAAAAAATTTCAGGAAAGAGAAAACAGGACCTGGGAGCTTGAAATTCTCTTGAGGGGAAATGCCACCTTTCTGCGGAGTTCTCTTGAGAGAAGAGGCACTGCTGCCCCTCCAACCTGGCCACCTTCAGACATGCTGGACTACAACTCCCATCACCCACAGCCAAGGGATGTTTGTTTTTTTTAAGGTGAGCATAGCTGGAGAAAAAGCTGTTTGACAACTAATGCTTTAGAGACTTGGAGAACAAGACTAGCTGCCCCTTCTTGGCATGGAAACGGGACACTGTTCAAGCAGGGTGCCCTATCTCACAGGCTACCTATCACACACAAGGCCATGTTGTTGTTGTACAATCACACCGGGGACAAACCTCCCCCCCCAAACAGCGAAAACCACCTCCTCCTCAATGTCCTTGATGAGCACAGAGATTTTCGCAACAGGATTTTGGCCTCAAGTCTGCCATATGTGGGGGATGATAATGCCGGTTGTGGTCTCCACCATGTTACCTTCTTGCAGTCGTTGGGGGGAAGGGAGTCTTCCTCGGAGTCGTCAGCTGAGAAGGAAGCACAGGGAGAAGAACAGGGACCCTTGTCTTCATCAGCAAGGAAATTCGCTTTTGGAAAAGATAAAAGCAATTTTGACTGTCTCTTCATTTATTCTTTAAAAAACAACTAAAAAAACACACAAACAAACAAACAAACCCAAAATCCAACCCTTCCCTCAAATGCTCAAATGTAGAATTCACAGAATCAAAAAATCTTTGTAACGAGAACCATGGATTATGGAGTTTATTTAGGGATGATGATTTGAGAACAGATCCTGCTTTCATATTTCAGAGACAATCAGAATGCTAACTTGTTTATTCATTTACAGATGGCTGCCATGAGTTAACTACTTCACTTATCACTAGGATGTTTTGTACTAACTAGCCCTTTTTCAAATTTATGACCCGTGGTAATAGTAAAATCAATGTTTTCTGTACTGCATTTCACTCTGATCTCTCCCTGACAAACCATGTACGGTAGGCAGTCTGAATAGATACCCAGCGGAACAAATTCTAACCTATAAAAGCTGATACTAATTCCATCACAACCTAAGTTAGTTTTAAAGCATGGCTGTCCTCTGCTGTTATTATTCAGAATTAGAAACCACGAGGATGAAAACTGTACTCAGAAGTTACAATCAACACAGCAAAACTGTCTTAAAGAAGTTGATAACACGCACAGTAAAAAGCACGCCCTTCTTTCTTCCTTTAAAGGAAAGGAACAATACAGATGTTATACAAATACAGGCCTCCAGATAATACTGGAGTGAGACTCCCATCAGCCTCAGTCTAAAGAATGATGGGAGTCATAGATCTGAAGATGTTTGCTGAACCCGAATCTCCGAGAGGCTCAAGGCTATGATGAGCTAAGAAAATTCACTAGGTGACCTCATTCAATCACTTTCTCTACTTCACAGGTGAGACCTACTCCAACTGGCCTGCTTCACAGGGTTGTTGCTGTGAAGAACATAAGATTTCACAGGATTGTGTAGTTTGCTGCCACAAGATATAGCCATGGGGGCCATGTTCGACAGCTCTGAAAAAGGATTTGGAGACACAATGTCTCTTAAGGGCTGCTAGTCAAATATCAGGGGAAGGATGATTTTTATGGGGTGCAGGTTCAGAGACAGCCTTTCTCTGCTGGCGACGTCCCAACGGGATGCTGTTTGGGAACGTGGAGGCTAGAAACATGTTGGGGTGGTGGTAGTAAGGCATGCAACTGTAATCACACAAGATTTTGTTGTTGTTGTTGTTCAGCTGTCTGTCCTGAGGTCCTGAATGTACCATCAGTCTGGCAACAAGCACTGCTAGAAAAAGGGGGGGAAATCCAATTATGCAACGATCACAGTTTTTTCTACAGGATTCTGGCCCTTGACTGCTAGCTCTCTGCTGAAATTCTGAACCAGGGCCCGGTTGCCGCACAGATTTTGAACATACACACACAGAGAGCTGTGTCCTTTTCTCAACTCGGAGGTGTGCAAGGCTCTCGGCCACACTTACAGCCCGTCTGATTGGGGAAAAGATCCGAGGCATCATGGGAAGTGACGGAAGGAGTTAAATCGTCAGCCGAAGACTGGGTCTCTTCTTCTTCTTCCCCAGAAAGCAGATCCTTCGCTATTTGTTCCTTTAGCCAATAACCGGGAAGGTGAAAGGGGAGGATGAGGAAGAAAGAGAGATTTTAATACAGTAAGGCTCCCATAGCCACAGGATCGATATCCACAGCTTCAGTTATCCACAGTCTGAAAACGTTAAAAGAGGGGGAGGACCAAAAATACAGATTTCCACAATGTAATTCATTAACATCATCATCATCTTAGAACTGCAGCAGAACGGGCCGCTAGAGAGAGCCAGAGATGATGCTATGTATTGGGTTCACTATTATCTATGGTTTTTGGCAACTGCAGGGAGGGGGTCCTTGGGGATCCTACTATATAGAATGCATATGTGTGTATTTAATTTCAGACTCCAAGCACAGTCTTATTTCTCCATTTATTTATCAATCACACGGGCTACCTTTCCCCCCAATGAGCTGAACACAAGGACACCTGACTCTTCTCTGCCCTACATAACACCATCACAACAACCCCATGAGAATACGTCAGGCGGACAGAGGAGAAGTGGCTCGAGGTCACAGAACGAGACCCAGGCTTGAACAGGGATTCGAAACCAGATCCCCTCAGTCTTAGATCAGGGCTGTGATCACTAGAGCACACTGGCCTCCAGGCTTGGCGGTACGACCCTGGGAGCTTTTACACAGCTGTTTAGTCCCACATGAGCTGACCACCTTTTAACACACAGAGTGGGCACTTCCCCGTTTGCATCTCCAGATTTTCAGAGGCACAGCTTCACTGGGATGTGGGAGATGGCCTCCTGTGGAACTCCCTGCCAAAGGATATGTATTTGGTCATCCTCCGCTGGGAGGAACACAGCGCTTCTCTTTGATAAGCACCAGAGCTGTGTGGGTGGACCCGTGCACATCTGTGATCCTTGCTCTTCTCTTTTAAGCCATTAGAGGACTCTGATGTCAAGGCCTCCCAAGAAGGCACTGTTCTGTACTCTTCCTCTCTTTCCTTAAGCAGCCAAAGCCACACGGAGCATCGTGATCGCCCCACCATGGTGTCAACTGGTCTGCTTACAAACAAGCAGCTTTTCCTGGGAAGAAACACCTGCAGAGTAGATCCCATCCTAACCATTTCCAAAGCCAGATGGTCTAAGTCCCTTTCTACCAGGGAAGGGGGCACCCCGTAGCCATTCTCCCATTGCAAACCAGAATAAAATGAGGACTAGGAGCTTTGAAAGACTTAAGACGCTCTCCTGGAAGCTGCTGGTCGGCAAATATCAAGGGGGCGAGATGGCCTTGTACGGGCTCTTACCTTATCCAGGGTCATGTCTGGGAGGTGGGGAGCTGCATCGGCGTTCTCGCTCTCCTGCTCAGAGATGGGTTCGGAGGCCTCGTAGCCGTACAACGCCAGCAGCTCCTCAAACGGCATTTCGCTGCTCTGAAAAAGAACAACATTGCAGAAGACATCTGCCCTGACAACGGACCGCCATCCAAGGCCAACAGCTCCACTTAGTTCAGTACAACCGAACCTCATGGGAGCCAGTCCTAGCAGCGCAGAAGGCTGAGCCTGAACTTGGAATCTTATTTTGTTTTATTTATATTAAGACCTTTCTAGCTTGCCTTTCTCCTTAAGAAGGACCCAAGAGGGATCACATCATTCAAAAGCATTACTTAAAGCAAAAATGAATGAATGAATAAACCACACCAAAAAACACCGAAAACCAACAAGTATAGAAATAATAAAAAGGATCAAACAAATGCCACAGTATTTGTAGTCTTCTGTTGGATTTTAACAAAAACACAGAAACCTTCATTGCACTGAGCCACTGACACCCCAAACAGAGTGGATCTGATTTGGAACTAAATGGACTCAAATTTAAATTGCTATTTAAAAATTTTAAAAACTGGATTTTTTGGGAGACACTTTAAATCAAAACCTGGATTTAAAAAAAAATCAGTTGTGGCTGAAATTGTGATTGAAATCAGTTTGATTTTTTTTTTTAAATTTTTATCCATCCTGGCCACCGTTCTAAGAAGTCCTCACAAGTTTTCTCACCCTGATGGGATAGGTGTTTCAGCACGCCGAGACAAATCACACAAAAACAGTCAACCGCAGCAAGCTTGCACTTTTAGATTTGCTTTCAGCACGGCCATTCGGCCCGGTGGAAACACCAAAGCTTCTGATTTCCATTTGGTCACCAGGAGCATCAGCAGAAAGGGGGAACATTGTACTCCCAAAAACGGTATCTTGAGGCAAATATAAGGATTTCCGCACGGTCTACTTTTCCAAAGCAAAAAAAGAAAGAAAGAAAAGCTTCCATCCCCTCTATGAAGATTTACATCCCAAAGCAGCCTTCCAGAGAGATTTCTGCTGGGAATGGAATCCCAGGACATTTGGCAAGAGAACGAGCCAACACACCTGCGACTTCCTTACCTGGGAGGCATTGAAGCTTTTGTCTATATCTTCGAAAGGTTTCCCTTTCCCCTGTGGGCACTCCTTCTCCTGTTCCTCCGCCTCTTCCCGCACGCCGTAGTTCTGGGACAGGATCTCGGCCAGGTTGAAGCGGTGGTCAGCTGAGCCCATAGACACCACTGCCAGGATGGAAGGAATGGCGGTGAAAAAAGCAGGGACCCTGACGGGATGGACGCGGCCTTGATCCGGAGTTTTTAGGCTCCGTCGAGAACGCAACCAGTTTGGGAAGGCGGCTCTCAGGGGTCCAGAGAGACGGGATGGCAATGGGGGCAGGACCTTCCCGGCTGGACATTTATGTTGTTAGGAAAGAAGTCTGATGTTGCCTTTCATGGCTCCTCTCCTTCACTCAAGGATGTATGAGAAGCGAATCGACACAACACATCGCACAGTATAAAAACAGAGATTAAAACTAGCCTATGTCCCTTTTTTATATGAAAGGGCAGTTACCGGCAATTCAAAATACTGCATTTAATTAAATAAATACATTTTAAAAAAATCAATCAGAAAGTTTCTTAATGATCCATACAGAGATGGGATTTTCAGCTTTCTTAGGCCCCGTAATTCTCCATTCTGGGAGCACCACATGACAAACAGCCACCTTACAGGGGCCTCAATCTGGCTCACCTGGGGGAAAAGGCCTAAACTGGGAGGCTCTGAGCCTGAGCTAGGCCTAAGCTCTGCCCAAGCTTCCTGTTCCTGCTCTAGTACTAGCTGGGAACTTCCTTTCTGAACAGGAAGTTTGGTGCAGCTAAGCCTAGGTAAGTGTCAGAGCTTCCAGTTAAGGCCTTTGTCCCAGGCGAGGCACATTTAGGTGTCTGTAAGGCAGAAGTCCCAAAATGGAGAATTATGGGATGTTTCATCCATGAAATCTGACCATCCCATCCCCCTCCATCACTACTGACCTTCAAGAAAGTTCTTGATCATGTTTTTATTTAATAGATTAATATAAGTGGTGCCAAACTCGAATTATAGACCTTGTCCTGCTCTGAAATGGGTACACGTATATTTGGTGACCTCACCCTGGCAAGGCAGAACAAGGGAGAGAACACATATCAAGAGAAGGGGAAAAACCCTATATAAGGCAGCCTGCAATGGGACTGACCAGAATAAAAGACTTTAAAACTCCATACCTGCCGTGGTATGAAGGCTGGGTCTCACAGGACATAAGTTACGGGCGGCGTAAGACACGACCCTTGGGCTCTGCCTCCCAATCGAGGCCTTAAAAAAAGAAGGAAAAAGAAAACATACTCTTATGTTGTGTATTTACAGCAGGAGTGCGATATCCATAGGATTGCTGCCCATGGTTTCACTTCTCCACTAACTGAAAATATTAAATTAAGAAACTCCAGAAATACATGTTTTCAAGGTATATTACGAGAGGTGGTCACTAGAGGGAACCAGAGACTATGCTATGTGGTCTACTGTGTTTATTTCTAGGGTTATTTCCTGTCCTTCTGCGGAAACAAGGCTGGAAAACCTGTAGACCTCTTGACTCTGATTCCCAATGGCTCTATCTGGCTTGACCAACAGTGGCGTAGGATGGGAGTCCTTCCTCAAGACCATCTGAAGGGCCAGAGGTTTCTCATCCCTGCTGTAAAACAATCGGGACTGCTTTTAATGGAGCTCAAAAACTAAATTATCCTCAGGTGAGCTTTAGAACCACAAGGACTGCCCCCCCCCCAAAAAAACCAAGCAAGCACCATCCCAGTCCATGATGTAGTCCCAATACCTCTGGAAGGTACAAGAAATGTCAAATGGGTGAGGTTGGGCATGCCACAGGGACACAACTGCCTTACCGTCACTGCCTAGATATCTTTTAAAGCCTTCACGTTTTATTTAAAACAACTGGCAATGTTTACGAATTTGAAAACCAAAGACAGTCCCTGAAATCATCACATTTAAACACAATCCATCATGCAATCAAAACCCACCATCAAAAACATTGTCAACATGTTATAACATGATGATGTACAGAACAAGCAATAAAGTTTCAGGCATGAAAACACAGAGGGGTGGGTTTTTCGGATGCTGCGAACTAAAAATCCCATAATTCTCCATTCTGGTTCCAACCAAGCTTCCTGTTCCTGTCCCAGTGCTAGCTGAGAGCTCTCTTTCTCAACAGGAAGCTAGGCCGAGCTCAGCCTTAGAGCTTTCTAGTTGAGGCCTTTCTCTAGGTGAGCTGCATTTAAGTGTCTCTAAGGTGTCAGGATAAATCATAGTTTAGTTATCTGGTTGCAGAGCCAGAGGTTGGGATTTCGAGTCCCCTTTGGTGCCTCCTGTGAGAAGAGCCAGCCTGCATAGCCTTGGGTCAGTTGCACACTCCCAGGGCACCCCCGGAAGAAGAGAATGGGAAACCACTTTGGAGGGCTCTCCACCTGGAAAATCTTGAAAAGAATTTACTTGATTGCTTACTATCATCATCATTGTGTCTGTTTGTCAGGAAGACCTCCCAAAATGGAGAATTATGGGAGTTTTAGTCAAAGAAAATGCCACCCCCAGTGGCCAGTATGCATTTGTATATTTCCCCCCAAAATACTACTCTGAGCTAAAGACAGATTCTGAGTCGGAAAAGATTACATCATCATTACCATGATCATCTCGATTTCGGAACAATATTTCAGGAGAAACTATTATCCACCTGAAACGGTGTTCAGGAATTGATGAAGCAACATGTGATTGAGAAAAAGTCAACTTGGTCAGGAAGCACCCCAAGTAAAAACTTCCGGCAGTTTCTCTTTCTAATCCTCCTCGACCCCATCGAAGGGGAGCTGCTCACACAGAACTCTTCATCACCTCCAACTTCGGAAGTTTGTGCAACCCAATGGCTGCTTCAGTAGTTCGAACTCCCTAACCCATCGGAAAGACAGGCTGCCTCGGCCTTTCCACCTCCAGGACATCCAAGGGCAAGATACGAAGACGTCTTAGGTGGTCCTGCCCATCGAGGCCTCCAACGGTGGAACCCTCGTGGGTCAAGGGCTCCTGCAAGGCTTGGAGGTGGTTCTGTGGAAATGTAGGGACTGGAGCAGCGAGCTTCTGGCGTGCACAACTGTGCTCTGGTAATGAGCTACCCCCCTCTCCTCTAAAATGAACAGGAGATTCTGATCCTGTGATTGAAAATGGTGATACGGGGTTGGTTCAAAGAGGAACACAGAACAGAAACGACACTACTTCATACTAACTCAGGACCTCTTTCTGTCTTTCTTTAAAAAAAACACTGACTGCTGTGGGTTATGCTCCACCCTCTCTTTCTATATATCTATATACAGGGGTGCCTCAACTCACAAACGTCCTGACATACGACCATTTCGAGTTACAACCAGCTCCGGCTGCAAAATTTTGCTTTGACTTGCGACTGGAGCTTCGAGTTACAACCAGAAAAAGGCGGGGAATTTAAATTGCTAACCGTTGGTCCGCAAAAAGACTGCTTCTTTCTACAGTAGCTCTTTTGCCCCAGCAGTTACAGTTACTGATCGGAGGCAGCTTCGGACTGCCTGGTAAGGTAAGGTGCTGCTTTCTGCTTTTAAAAAACTGTTCTGGGTGGATTTGCAGCATAGTTTTGGGCTGGGTGGTGGGATTATGTTTCTATGCTGTGATGGGTCTTGCAGGGTTTGTTTGCTTTTTGGGGTTTTCCCCTCGATATCCGAGGGGTCTTGCGGGGTTTGTTTGTTTTTTGGTGATTTTTATTTGCATTTCTGATAGGTCTTGTAGTCGCTGTTTGCTTTTTGGGTTTTTTCTTTTTGCATTTCCGATGGGTCTTGCACAGTTTGTTTGCTTTTTGGGGTCCCCCCCATTTCCGACGGGTCTTGCAGGGTTTGTTTGCTTTTTGCTTTGCTTTTTTGCATTTCCGATGGGTCTTGCATGGTTTTTTACTTTCTGCGCCCCCCCCCCTTCGGCCAGAATGGATTAATTGTGTTTCCAAATGGTCTTGCAGTGTTTTGTTTTGTTTTTTGGTGATTTTTTTCTTCGGCTGGAATGGATTAATTGCATTTCAATGCATTCCTATGGGAAATGGTGCTTTGACTTACAACCATGTCGAGTTATGACCAGAGTTCCGGAACCAATTAAGTTCGTAAGTCAAGGCACCACCGTAAATCTATATCTACACACCCTCTCTTTCCTTCTCTCCCTTTTTCCTGCTACATCACATCACTCAACTCTCTTCTCTCCTAATCATCATTATCATCATGTGCCAAATCGATTTCGACTTATGGAGACTCTTTTCCAGGTAGGGGACACCAGGGACACGGGTTGTGGGACTCACTGTTGAGTCAGGCTTAAATCACGTTGGTGTCTCGACTCAGACTCAAAGACTTGCCAACATCTGCCTGGAGAATAATCCAAAGTGGTTTCTCGTTCCCTTCTCCTGGGAGGGGATCCCTGGGACAGTGCAGCTTTTGCCCAAGGCCATCCAGGCTGGCTCTGCTCACGGGAGCTACAAAGCGGGGAACTGAACTCCCAGCCTCTGGCTCTTCAGCCAGAGATCGAAACCACAGAGCGGTGAGCGGTTGTAGCGAACAGCCCTACCCTCACCTGTCGGGTCACAGCATGACAGTGAAGAAGGAGACTAGGAGTGGACAGAAGGTGGAGCCAAGGGGGGGAGTGAGCTGGATATAAAGACTGGTGTATGGAGTATGAGAGAGATTTTGAGAGTGAGAGACTGTGTGTAACTTGAACGTGTCTGGAAAGTGAGTCAGAGATCTGTAAAAATGATAATTGAAACAGACGGTTAAAAGAGTTTTAAAGTTATATCAGATGTGATTCAAATACAGTACAAGTGATTGGTAGCCTGTGATTTATACCCCTGAATATTTATCATTTATTTACTTCCCTGATCAAGCAAAAGAGTTAAGTTTTGAACAGCACACTTGTCTCTATACGTGATCGATATTGAAGCATTAATATATGGTGGCAGCGAACAAGAAAGAAGAGTGAGATCCTTGTGAAGGCCTGGGGGGGGAATAGGAGGGACTTTGGAAGAGATCGTCACAGCGGTCTTCTCCTAACTCTTTCCAAACCTTCGCCCTTGTTGCATGGCTGGATTTTAAGAGTGGGAAGAAAGCACTTCCTTCCAGTCTGGGAAAGACTTGGAGGTTAAGATATTGCCTGATGTCTTCTTAAGAACAGCCCGCCACAGAGCGCTGACTTGAGAGCCACAACCAGGGGAACACAAGCTTATGGCCTACGAGGAAAACTTTGCAAACGAGATGCCTTCAACTGGGAACGTTGGGCTCATGTGGTGCAACGCAAGTTCCCTCTGTATCTTATTAGCAACCTAGGACGTATTCTCACAAGAGAATGACTTGTCTGCTTGTAGACAGAATTTGGTGGATGTTAGATACGGATGGCAGAATCAGAGAGACTCATGATCCAGGAAAAAACTCAAAGCATTTTCCAAAAGACGATGGAAGATCAATGAATTCTTGTTCCCCTATAGAGGAGAGGAGGTCTTTTGGATACAGGGAATATCAGAAATGGAGGTACAGGAAGCAACAGCAGTAACTTTTAAAAAACTTCCATATAATGGTGTAGAGGACGGAGTGTCGGACTCAGATGACCTGGGTTCAAAACTCTACGCAGCCACGGATACTCATTGGGGGACAGCAGTGGTAAATTGTTTCTGGAATATCTCACACACTTCAAAAACCTGACTAGGGTTGTTTACGTGAGGAAATGACACGATTTACATGGTCACAACAAATGCAGAGATGGCAGACAAAAATGATCATTTAACAAATGTTTGTTCATTAGAAGATTAATGCTCCCTTTGAAAAGTTACAAATCTACCCCCCATCACTATTTCTTGATTGCAACAAGAAATGTGGCAAACAGACAAAAATTGAACTATAGCTGCAAAAGACTCTGTTCTTCCAGCTGATGCTTGTGATATCAGGAATAGTCACTCAAGACTGATATACAGTACTTGGATTTGAACGGTGGGCTTTGGTCTCTATGCACTGGTGACCCTTGAGATCACCAGAATCAAGCTGATTCTTAAGAGGACAACATCGTCTGGTTCTTAAAAATTCTGCAACTTCTCTTGATCCACCCTAACTGGACAGGACCACTTGGAGATCCGAGGAATTAAACGTGGAAAGTAGTTGCTCTACCAGAAAGCTCCAGTCCTTCTCAGACGACGGGGTCCAAATCCCTGCAGATTCTGACAAGGAAACCAGCTGACAGAGGTAGAGAGGCGTAAAAACATCTCATCAGTTTA